ACACTCTCCACCTTGGCTTAATGGGTTTGGGAAGCCATTAGCTTCTGGGACTGGACATAGGACATAAATCTGTCATCCAGAGGAAACAGGTGGGGCTGCTTCGGAAGTCTTGGGTGGACCAAATCTGCGTAGGCCTCTAGGAAGCACTTGACTGGCTTCCTGGACTCAGGAGGACTGGTGGGCTAGTATCTCCAAACACTGGGGCCTCCAATGTCCTTGAAGACTCTATGGGTTCAGGGGAAACTGTCAGAGCTGGTTTCTGAGGCCCCAGCTTGCAGCTGCACAAGGACATCAAGGCTCAAGAGAAATAGCCCAAAAGGCTCCTGGGACATGAGTATGGGGAGGGGGGTGGGGCAGGAAGTGGCAAGGGAGGTACTAACTGCTGCTGCTGATGGCAGTCTTGCCAAAAGGACCTTTTCCAGGGATTGAGTGTAAGAGCAGGGAGACTAGGCAAGACTATATGGTCTGTTGAAACAATAGGATAAATTTTGGAGATTCTAGAATTTCAATAGATTTGTCTTTCAATTTAGGAGAACCAATAAGGACAGAGTTGGTGATTTACAGCAGGCTTTCTCAAATTTAATATACATTCAAACCCTCTGGAGTTCTTGTTAAAACACAAATTCTGATCCAGTAGTTCTAGGGTGGAGCAGAGATTCTGCATTTCTAACAAGCTCCTGGGTGATGCTGATGCTGCCAGGCTAGGAATTACTTTTTGGGGGCTTCCCTGGTGGCTCAGACGGTAAAGAATCTGCCTGCAGTGTGGGCGACCTGGGTTCGATCCTGGGTCGGGAAGATCCCTTGGAGAAGGAACTGGCAACCCACTTCAGTATTGTTGCCTGGAGAAATCCACAGACAGAGGAGCCTGGTGGGCTACAGTCCATAGGGTCACACAGAGTCGGATGTGACTGAGCAACTAGCGCGCGCACACACACACACACACATACACATTCACACACGCACACACACACACACACACAGAGCAAAGACTTAGAAGACCTGACCACATTTCAGTGTCATAAGAGAGATTAAGTACAAAGGTATTGATATCAAAACTATTTGGGGAGTTTCAGGGACGAGAGCAGGTGTCTGAGGTCAAACAAGGGAACATTTCTGACCATCAGGGAGATTGAAAGTGATGGAGTCCTAAAGTTAGGGAAGATTAGGAGAGACTGCTTCATCACTAGGCCCTGGGCTCCCAGGACTTGTGTTTCTGCCAGAGTGTTAGCTCTAGTGAGAACCTAACAGGTTTTCTGGCTCAGCCCTGCATGATTGAGAAATGAGAAAAGAGTTATCCAGGGTTACACAGCCATTTAGTGGCTGAACCTTGATGGATCTTGTTTGCGGGTCCTCTTGATGATGTAAAACAATGAAAATATTTAAGCAAAGGTATTTCAGGACAGTTCTCTGGTGGAGAATGAAACGACCCCATAAAATTAATAATTTAGGAGACTACTTGGAGGCTTTTATTCTAGGACAAGCAAGAGATGAGCAGAGTCTGAGCTATAACTTTGTAAATAGAAAGGGACAAAAAAATTTGAGAGATATTTAAAAGAGAATAAATAGGATTTAGAGTTTGATTTTTTTTTTTTTTTGGTAGAGGTTGAGTGAAGAGGAGGAATCAAGGATGATCTCCAGTATGTGTGGTTAGGCAAAAGGTAAATAAATCATGAATGCTCCCTGTCTTCTGCCCAAGTAAAAAGTAGAGGAAAAGAAGGGACCTGGGCAAGGGGATGAACAAGGAGACAGTTGAGTGTGAACAAGGAGACAGTTGAGTGTGAACAAGGAGACAGTTGAGTGTGAACAAGGGAGACAAGGACCATCAGGAGACATTCATCCTAGTCAGATAGATCGAATTGGCTGAGCTCCTAATGTTTGTGTTCATCATCTCCAGTACTGTTGGGTCATCTACAAAGTAACAAATGTTCCTGCTAACTCTCCAGTTTGCAAATTGAATGGCACCCTCTCAGAGAGACCTTCCCTGACTACTCAAGTTGTTCCCCTACCCTATACTGATTCCCTATCACTGCTTCTGCCATCTTCCTTCCCAGCAGTTACCACGTTTGGATATTTGTGTTTACCAGTTTGCATTCTGATTTATTATCTGACTCCCTACTAGTCATTAGGTTCTTTTAGGTCCAGAATTATATTTTGTTTCCCGCTATATATCTAGCAGAGTGAGTATCAAACAGGACATTCCTATAATATTTGTGGAGTTAATCAAAGAATGTGTGGTACAGCTGAAGCACCTGGAGATGTTTATTTTAGAAACTATTCAAATGACCGAATATCTTTCTATTCCTTGAAGTTGCACAGAACAACTCTATTTCCACTTTTTAAAATTTTTAAAAGCTTGCACTGTGTGGCTACCAGGACAGATTTAGGAAGCCACAGGAAATGGATCACATCTACATTGCTCCACAGCTGTCTCTTCCTGATGGGCTCAAAAAGGCTTGGGAGGTCATCACAGGAGGTTTCCAAGTGGAAAGGGGACCATGAGTGTGGTGTGTGGGAGTGGGGTAACTTTACACAATGGATTGGATGTTAAACTATATGACCTCTGGGCCCCTTTTTAAACCTGAGACCCCATGATGCCATATTCTTCAATCAAACCCCTGGGCTTAATAGATGCAGTCTGCTTTGATTTCTTTTCTCTTTTGGAACTTTGGAGGGAAAAATGTATTTGCTTTTATCAATTTTTGATTAGGTAGATTTTAGACAAGACTGGGTGTGTTCAAGGTGATATGGCCATAGAAAAACTGGGTAGATTTTAAAGGTCAGGGTACTTAATTTTTTTAGCTCTAAATTGCAAAGGAATCCCTGGCCAACTGTCTAGACTTGCTGACTGATTGGCAATGTGAGGTCAATAAATTCTCTCTCACCTAAAGAGTTCTAAAAAGTGATCCTATGAGTCAGTGGCCAGACTTGGTATGCTGGTCAGCATTTCTCAGTGTGGTAAGATTTCATTAGTGCTCAAGGAAAGCTCAACTTTCTGATTTAATACTATCTTGATCAGTGGTAGAAAAATTAAAATAGTCATCATTCTTTAAGGTTGAGATTTGGTTTCAGTTGTCATTCTGTAGAGGAAGAGTTAATCATCAGTGTCTGTAGCCCTGTGGTTCTCAGTGAGGGATGGATAGACCTGTCCACATCTAGGACATCCTTTTATTTTAGAAACTAAAGAGAGATTTTAGACATACCTGCCCAAGGCATCTTTTCTAGACAAGGAAATTGTGATGGAAAATCTATTTAGCTTCAGTTTAGTTCAGTTCAGTCATTCAGTCATGTCCAACTCTTTGCGACCCCATGGACTGCAGCACACTAGTTTTCCCTGTCTGTCAACAACTCCTGGAGCTTACTCAAACTCATGTCCATCAGGTCAGTGATGCTATCCAACCATCTCATTCTCTGTTGTCCCCTTCTCCTCCCGCCTTCAATCTTTCCCAGCATCAGGGTCTTTTCAATTGAGTCAGTTCTTCGCATCAGGTGGCCAAAGTATTGGAGTTTCAGCTTCAACATCAGTCCTTTAAATGAATATTCAGGATTGATTTCCTTTAGGATGGACTGGTTGGACCTCCTTGCAGTCCAAGGGACTCTCAAGAGTCTTCTCCAACACCACAATACAAAAGCATCAGTTCTTCGGCACTCAGCTTTCTTTATAGTCCAGCTCTCATATCCATACATGACTGCTGGAAAAACCATAGCTTTGACTAGACAGACCTTTGTTGGCAAAGTAATGTCTCTGCTTTTTAATATGCTGTCTAGGTTGGTCATAGCTTTTCTTCCAAAGGACAAGTGTCTTTTAATTTCATGGCTGTAGTCACCATCTGCAGTGATTGTGGAGCCCTAAAAAATAAAATCTGCCACTGTTTCCATTGTTTCCCCATCTATTTGCCATGAAGTGATGGGACCGGATGCCATGATCTTAGTTTTCTGAATGTTGAGCTTTACGCCAACTTTTTCTCTCTTCTCCTCTTTCACTTTCATCAAGAGGCTCTTTAGTTCTTCTTCACTTTCTGCCATAACGGTGCTGTCATCTGCGTATCTGAGGTTACTGTTATTTCTCCTGGAAATCTTGATTCCAGCTTGTGCTTCATCCAGCCCAACATTTCTCATGGTGTACTCTGCATATAAGTTAAATAAGCAGGGTGACAATATACAGCCTTGACGTACTCCTTTCCCAATTTGGAACCAGCCTGTTGTTACATGTCCAGTTCTAACTGTTGCTTCTTGAACTGCAAACAGATTTCTCAGGAGGCAGGTGAGGTGGTCTGGTATTCCCATCTCTTGAAGAATTTTCCACAGTTTGTTGTGATCCACACAGTCAAAGGTTTGGTGTACTTAGCTTTCTATTGTCATAAACCTACCAATTTCCAGACCAGCTCCTCTCCCCTGACAAAGTTAATCCTAGTTGGAATGGGGTTGTAGGGCTAAAACTTGGAGAAGTTTGAATAACTATGTACCATCAGTAATTTATTCCATGTACACCGCACCTCCCCCCGCCCCCCCAAACTCATGGACCCTCAAGTATCTATTTTAACAATTCTCTATCTAGGAAGTCTTCCATTCCCTACTTCCTCCACATTCTCCACCTCAAATTAGATTAGATACTGTTGCTATGTACTTCCATAGAACTTTGTGCTTCCCCATCGCACTGAATTGTAATTTCTTTTAAAATCATCTATCTTCCCATCTAAACTATAAATTCTGTGAGTATGTAGATGATATCTGTCTTATTACCATTGTATTTTTACCTAAGACTCTGTATATGCCTGTCACATGGAAGTTGCTTAATACATATTTGATAAATAGATGAGTGGGTGGATGGATGGATAGATAGAAGGACCACTATATCTCCACTATAGTCAGATGCTTTGGTCACTCTTAAAATTAGAATGGGTTCCTTTGTTTTCAAATGAGTAGAACAGTGTTCCCTTTTCAAAAAGTAATTATGAACATTAGGTTAGTCAAGAGTCCAAGTAGTTTAGAAATACTCTTACCTGGGGCATAGTCCCTTCGAGGAACACTTGGAGGTGCTTTGACTTTCAGCCTGTAGATAACAGATTAGACAGATGGTCAGTGAGTAGGACAACTATTGTCAAGGCCCATAATATAAACAGGTTTAGAGATAATGGGTAGATAACTAACAGAATAATGGTTTCTTTTGAACTCATCACTGAAAAACTAAGTGTACTGTAAATGTAGTGAAGCCATTAGTCAGCATTTTCCGGCCTCTACCCCTCCCCCGAGGGCACAGTGTGGCTGTGACTGGGCAAAAGTGAGGTCGGGAGGTAGAAGGGCTCTGAGAGGTCAGAACACTTGTAAGCCGAGAGATCAGAGATTCGAAGACAATAAATGTTGATTGTTTGATAAGAAGGTAAGAGAAGATGAACTCTAATCAGCTAAAATGCTGAACTAAAATGTCGTAGGTTGGAATGGAATTGTTTTTTGAACTATTGAAAAAAAATGCCAAATAAGTGAGCAGTGAGTGTATCCATGTTGAGGATTGGGATGTTTAGATAAAAGTTGAATTGTTTCAAGCACTCTCAAAACTGCTATATTTATGCATATATAAAATGTTCTGAATACTCACAAAGCTTTCCCATTCATTAAAAGGAAAAAACTAAAATTACATTTCAAAATGTATCCCAGTATTTAGACTTTTTACAACTTTTGACAACACTTTCCCTTCCATTATTTGAAATGTGTCAGGTTTATAGTAAATTATTATTTTTAATAATAGTTAGCATGTTATGTAAGAATGCTTTGCTTAGTGAAATTTAGACATATATAAATAAAACCTATATAAAACCCAGTAGCCTTCATTTACTAAAACATCACATCTGTTTACATAAGCCATGTATAAGCTAACCACTGGGGCTTCCTAGATGAAGCTAGTGGTAAAGAACTCGCCTACCAATGCAGGAGACACAAGAGACACAGGTTCAATCCCTGGTTGAGAAGATCCCCTGGAGGAGGGTGTGACAACCCACTCCAGTAGTCTTGCCTGAAGAATCCCATGGACAGAGGAGCCTGGAGGGATACAGTCAATGGGGTCGCAAAAGGTCGGACACCACTGAAGTGACTTAGAGCACACACACACACACACACACACACACACACAAGGTAACCATTACATACAAAAATATTTCATTTTTGGGAAAAAAGTTGGTACAGAAAATCATGCTTGATTACAAAAAAAAAAAAAAGGCTGATAAACCAGAACTGTAATGTTGCAAAAATAAGATTAATTATATTTGCCTAGAAATTTTTTTTTGTTTCCTAAAGACTCTCCTAGCTATTGTTTCACTCAGTTCTCAGCAAACCAATAGGGCATGCTAGGAAGACATTGTCATTAGACCCAGGATGAGGTCCAGAGAGAGAGACTGTCTATTGTAGTGAAGGGAAGAAAAATAAAAACAAAACTGGATCTGGTGCCAGGTCTGTTCATTGAACAGTAAGATTTCAAAAAGCACAAACCAGCTATTTTATGTTATTGCCATCCTTTCAAAAAAAGAAAAGAAAGGATATTTTAATACCCCCAAAAGTGTGAGGTCATCATCTCAGAATAAAGGAGCAATTCAAGAGAGGACCTTGATCACTGAACACCAACCAGAGATAAAAGGTGTCATTTGGGCCTCGTTTAGCAGCCAGCAGCTGCACGCCAACCCTCAGCTCTTTACAGGCCTTTTCTCATTCAGCCATGACTGGTGACAACTCTGTCATGCTCTCGTGTTAGGAAACCAGTGTGATCAACTGTGCTTCCTCCTTTGAAGGTGGCACCTGTGGCTTGGTTTTGAGCCAGCGCCGAAGTTCGGAGCACTTCGACCCAAAAGAGCCATTGACTTCACCAGGGTGATGACTGGGGCAGTCATATTTTCCAAGCAGAGAAGAAAACAGTTTGTCAAGTATTAGGGGATGGTGGGCAGAATGAAATAGAAATTATCTGGGAAAATTTGAGCTGCATGGCTGCTGTAAATGGAATAAGGAGACATTTTATACAAAGACTTCATATTATTGAAAGAATTGGTATATTGTAAAATTGGCAGTTGTGAGATAATTAATCTAGAATTGCTAGTGATGAAAACAATGACTGGCAGTGTTCTCTCATTTCAATGAGATTCTATATGTATTAGAAATAAGAAATGAAAATAGTCACATACACATCTCCCAGTCATAGGACAGACCATGAAGACAGGTTCTTCTCCTGTAGGAGATGACCACTGTCCCTCAAGCAGAAGATCATTTTAACTATTTTATGATGACCAGTTACACATATTGAAACTCATTTACATTGTATAGCCTAAAAACACCATGAAAAGTGATTTATTACTCTTAAGTTTAGCAAAGGCCAAAAAAGAAAAAAAAAGATACTCTGCTCTGAAGCCACAAGGAAATGAACTTTTATCCACTGTTAGTAGTACCTGCAATTCAGGAGACCTAAGTTGGGAAGTTCGATTCCTAAGTTGGGAAGATCCCCTAGAGAAGGAAGTGGCAACCCACTCCAGTATTCTTGCTTGGAGAACCCCATGGACATAGGCGCCTGGCAGGCTACAGTCCATGAGGTTGCAAGAGTCAGGCACGACTTAATGACTAAACCACCACCAACCAGTAGTACAAAATTTGGCAGCAGCAATTTGGTAATACCAACCAAAATCTGAAGGGCACAAATCCTGTCCAGAAGCTATAAATTTCACTTCAGGAATTTAGTTTTCTGGCATACTCATAAGTCTGCAGAGAGTATTTATTGAAGTATTATTTGTGACAGGTAAACTAAAAAAAGTGGCCATAAAGCTTTCATAGATGTTATCAAATTGTCTTCCAAAATGTACATTTAAACTCCTACTCCTACTTCAAAGAAGTCCACCAGTATATAGCTGGTTAAACAAATGATAATATATTTATAGTAGACTATTAATTATCTGTTTAAAAGGCTTATGGTTATTTTTATGTACTAACAAAGAAAAATGCCCACTATATAGCATTAATTAAAACCAAGAAACAAAGCAATTTGGTAGAATGTGTGTGTGGCATGATGCCACTCATGATGAAACTGTATGCAGGAATGTAATGTATATTTAGGGACTACAGCTATGCCAATGTGTGTATGTGTGTGTGTAAACATACGCAAACCGATATTTATACCAAACTCACTCCTGTTGTGTCCATTTCTGGGGAGCAGGTTAGGGTGGGAATAGGAGAAGATGAGAGATTTTTATTTCATGCAATTCTGAACTCTTTGATTTTTGTCTCTAGTGAATCTGTATTACTTTCATAAAAACAAAAAAGCCTTAAACAAAAACTTAACAGAATACCATTTCCCCTTTCCTCTTGAGTTAAATTTCGAGTGGCAAATTCATGTATGCGTAATATACAATTTCTATTCTCTGCAAAAACAAAAACAAAACTTTAGAGGTGTGTGTCTGTGTGTGTGTATGTGTAGGAAGATTTGGAATTCTAACTTTCCTTCTCCAAGTGTCAATTGAAAACACCATTTCAAGGTCATAATTGAAAAAGCAGTAATCAAAATATGGAAAACAGTTACGGTGTCCTAAAGAAATCAGGCTGTGTTCTTGCAATTTCTCTTTTGAATTTCTACAAAACAGAAACGCATCCAAGTGGTCCTTAGCTAAGTGGTCAAAGAAGCTGATTGTCTGGCTTCTATAAATGTCTCTTTTGATGCTTGCCAAGCACCTTGAACGGCATAACTCAGCTGTCCAGGAGTGAGAGAGAAAAGCAAGGTGCCTGAGTACCAACCACTCATTCACCATGTTTCCTGAATGTGGGTCTGACCACCATGACTCTAGCCATGAGTAAGAAAGTGTCACATGCTAGAGAGGTTGCCATTCCTCACTCGGGTAACAGGGAACTTTGTTTTCTTCCACTTACTGCAGGCTGGCATAAGATGTTATTTACATAAGTGCTCACACAGTGCTATGGCATCTGACTTACTTTTTGTGTGTGTGTGTGTGTGAACATGATTTATTTGGTATCCACAAAGGGTGGAGTAAAGGTCGCAGTTTCCATTCCCTTTGATTTCTGTTCTCCAAGAAGTGTGGTCAAATTCAGCCCAGTGTATATTCTGATCCCTGGGAGCCATGAAGGAAATCGGAGTTCACACAGGACCAGAACAAAAGCTCTGGTCAGCTGGGGGTTGTTACCAGGTTTTTATTCGAAATATTCCTCCTTTCTATCCTTTTGTGATCGCTTCTCTTGCATAGCCTTTTTTTTTCATTTATTTTTATTAGTTGGGGGCTAATTACTTTACAGTATTGTAGTGGTTTTTGTCATACATTGACAGGAATCAGCCATGGATTTACATGTATTCCCCATCCCGATCCCCCCTCCCACCTCCCTCTCTACCCGATCCCTCTGGGTCTTCCCAGTGCACCAGGCCCAAGCACTTGTCTCATGCATCCAACCTGGGCTGGTGATCTGTTTCACCATAGATAATATACATGTTTCGATGCTATTCTCTCTAAATATCCCACCCTCGCCTTCTCCCACAGAGTCCAAAAGTCTGTTCTGTACATCTATGTCTCTTTTTCTGTTTTGCATATAGGGTTATCATTACCATCTTTCTAAATTCCATATATATGTGTTAGTATGCTGTAATGGTCTTTATATTTCTGGCTTACTTCACTCTGTATAATGGGCTCCAGTTTTTCACCCATCTCATTAGAACTGATTCAAATGAATTCTTTTTAATGGCTGAGTAATATTCCATGGTGTATATGTACCACAGCTTCCTTATCCATTCGTCTGCTGATGGGCATCTGACTTACTTTTTGATCTTGTTCATTATTCCACCTTCATTGTTCTTGATATCATGGACCATTTTTTGAAGTTGCCTGTATGAAATGAAATGAAACATAAAATATTAATAACTATGTTGATTTTTAAGTCTTCTATCCTTCTTGAGTACAAGAAAAAAAGCTCTACAATAAACCCCCAAATATCATGAATTATATTATATTCAATTAAGCTGGCCATTTACTACTTGAGCAGAGGGAAGGTATGACTGAGTCTATAATGAGTGTGGTCATCAGGCCATGCACCGACCCACTGAAGTCTGGGTCAGTCTCAGGCTCTGGGAGAAATTCTGACTCCCAGATATGTCTGTTCTGAGGAGTCATAAGCTATCAGAAGCCTCACTAGTTATCACTTACTGTCCTCAGACCATACAAGGATGGAGCTACCTTGAAGAATACAGTATAGACAGAAATCAGGCTTAAGATTTTTTGTGAGGAGGTTAACTTTACTAGATAGAATCTGGAAAAACTGTCACTCAAAAGTTGTACATACACAGAAGTCATAAAGAAACAGATGAATGAATCTGGTTGCATAAATATTTGAAACTTCTGCAGAGCAAAAAGTAATGTGCACAAAATCAAAAGATAAATACATGCTGGAAGAAACATTTGCAGTACATATAAGAAGAAGAACTACATGTTTTGATTAACAAAGCATCTTACAACTCCATACAAAAAAAATGTTTAACAATTCAATAGAAAAATGAGCAAAATCTATGAACACAGAGCTAACAGAAAAAAAAATACAAGTGACCAACAGATCAATGAAAAGTTATTTAATATCACTTATATTTAAAGAAATCTAAATGGAAACAATAAGGTATAATATTCTGATTATCAGACTGGCAAAACTTAATAAGTATAATAATCCCGAGGGTTGGCAAGTATATGAGAATACAGGTATTCTTGGGAATATAAATTAGTACAATCAATATCTGTCAAAATGTAAAACCACCTTGCCTTTTGACCTGGAAGTTCCACTGCTAGGAATTTACCTTATGAACATAGTCACAAACTATACAAACATACATATCAGAATGTTTATTCCAGATAGGTGTAATAACTCTAATCCTTTCTGCCTCTCCCACCAAAAACACCTGGAAACAACCTAAATGCTCATTTATTATTAAAAGGGAACTTCTTAAATACACATTGATAAAGCCATAAATGGAATACCACAGACCATAAAAAAATACATCTCTATTCAGTTCAGTTCAGTTCAGTCGCTCAGTCATGTCCGACTCTTTGCGACCCCAAGAATCGCAGCACGCCAGGCCTCCCTGTCCATCACCAACTCCCGGAGTTTACTCAGACTCATGTCCATCGAGTCAGTGATGCCATCCAGCCATCTCATCCTCTGTCATTCCCTTCTCCTCCTGTCCCCAGTCCCTCCCAGCATCAGGGTCTTTTCCAGTGAGCCAACTCTTTGCATGAGGTGGCCAAAGTACTGGAGTTTCAGCCTCAGCATCAGATTGCTAATATATTTTTAAAAAAATCTTGGGATATTATTAAGTTAAATGAAAATGGAGGATGAGAAGAAAGAAAATAAAGAAGGAAAATTCAGAATATGCATGTATGTTTTTTGTAGGAAAAAAAGATGTATATACATGTGTGCTGGTATGTGCATAGCTTTTTAGAATGATATGCAAAAAATTGTTACATGGCTGTTTTCAAGGCCAATTGTAGTTAGAAAAAATTTATGAATTAGAAAAAAGGTCAGAGTATAGGACCATGTTTTGTTTTCTTCATAATGACTTTCTAATTTAAAATACATCTAAATAAAATTTCACATGGTTCTGCCTTGAAAGAGTAATATATATAAATTTACCTTTCAGGCAAGGCTTTCCTTTGTTCTGAGAAAACAGTTTCATTGGGCATTTTAGTTAATGAAATATAAAGCTTGTATATGGGGCTTCTGATGTGGCACTAGTGGTAAAGAAATCTGCCTGCCAGTGCAGGAGATGCAAGAGGCTCCCGTCCGATCCCTAGATTGGGAGATCCCCTGGAGTAGGAAGTGGCAACCACTCCAGTATTCTTGCCTGGAAAATACCATGAAAAGAGGAGCCTGGTTGTCTACAGTTTATGGAGCAGCAAAGAATTGGACATGACTGAGCACACAAAAAACTTGTATATAGCCATTGTTCTAGGAGGAAATGGAGTTTTTCCATTAAAAAAAATGCAGATTTCTCTCACTCTGGAAGCTTTGCTCTCTATTAGCTATTATGAAGAGTGATACACAGTTAAGCTTAGCATAGGCATACAAAACCCTGTTGATAGGAACTGGAATCTGGGAGAAATATTCTCTTGGGCTATGTATGGATTTACAATGTATATGCTGCAAAGCTTTTTGGTGTAGGGATGGAGCAGTTGAGAGGATGAGAGGACAGCTTGTCAGAGGAACTCTGCCTGGCCTGACCTGTTGGCGTCCCCCACTAAGTGTTAATTTCAGGCTGAAATTAACCTAGGTTTTTCCAGTAGTCCTGTACAGATGTGAGAGTTGGACCATAAAGAAGATTGAGCACTGAAGAACTGATGCTTTTGAATTGTAGTGAGAAGACTCTTGAGAGTCCCTTGGATCAGCAAGGAGCTCAAACCAGCCAATCCTAAAGGAAATCAACACTGAATATTTATTGGAAGGACTGATGCTGGAGCTCAAATACTTTGGCCACCTGATGTGAACAACCGACTCATTGGAAAAGACCCTGATGCTGGGAAAGACTGAGGGCAGGAAGAGAAGGAGGCGACAAAGGATGAGATGGTTAGATAACATCACCGATTCAATGGACATGAATCTGAGCAAACTCTGGGAGCTAGTGAGGAATAGAAAGGCCTGGTGTGCTGCAGTCCATGGGATTGCAGAGAGTCAAACACGACTTAATGACTGAACAACAACAACTCTCCTGGGCTGATGTTCTGCTGTAGCTATTTCCTGAGGCCTGTCAGACATCATGGTGATGGGACATTTACTGCACAGTGGACATTCCTACTCTCAGCTATCTTGGGAAAAGCGAGATTGTCAAACAAGAAATGGTAATGTAGACTGGGCATTTAGGGGAGCTCTTTTCCCTTCTAGGTCTAATGATTGTTAGGACCTGTAGACCTGAAAAGCATAGACAAACCTGAGAGGTTTTCTATAGTGTGAAGCTGGAGGGGTGGGGAGGTAGGTGGCCCTGAACCTGAGACTGGGTCTGGGCCTCTGCTCTGAGAGAGCCATCTGCAGTGCCATCGGTAGCCCTTTTCAGTGAGGTAATTCCCTTTATTGTCCCAAATCTTCAATGGTGTCCTGTCAGGAGTTGCAGCCTGGCTTTGGTGGGGCTATGGGGAAGGTGTGTTCCACTGGCACTGAGGGGTGGATCGCAGGGGGAGGACAAGCTGGTGGGTGGAGTAGAAAGATAAGAGAGACTTCTTGAGGCTACACCTTGGAGAATTATCTACATGACTGGGCAACCCAATGAGGGGTTCCAGTTTGAATACAAGAAGGTCAGTGCCATTTCATCATTTGGGTAACAAAGGAAATGAGACCATATCTTACATCACCAGTTAGGGAGGCTGGGTGTGTTGATTCCACATGTATGAGAGCTCAGCTAAGCTCCAGGCTCAGCAGCAGAGAGAACAGGGTGGATGAGAGAGAAGAGGACCACCTGGTCCATTAGAGACACACAGGGGCGTCCTTCCAGCTGGACTTTAAGTTGCCTCAGAACCATACAGCATTCTAGAATTTGTTCACATACATTCCATGCAAGCCCTTTTCTCCTTTTGCTGAGGAGCTGTAGAGAACCTGTGAGATAGAGGAATGAGGGGGAAAAAAAAGATAGGAGATCAAGGCGTAAAGAGGAAGTGAGATTGAGAGAGAGATTGAAATGGATTGATTAGGAAGAAACTGAATAATTTCAAGTGGGGAGCAGAGGGCACTCTAGTCGTAAGCCAGCTATAACCAAGTGGAATGTCTTTACCCTACTTAATGCCTAACTGGATTGAAGGGTAAAATGAACCGGAGTGAAGGATCCTATCAGAGATTTGTGAAGAGTGTGACACAGGCAGAGTAATAGGGAGCCAGATGCTGATTTGCATAAGTGACTTTGCTGTAGGTGTAAATAGTCATATGTAAATTGTTGCAAAAAAGTTTAATGTAATTTTTTCAATTATTCACCTGGGTAGTTGATGCTTCTTGGCATTTGATAATTACTTTTAATTATAGTGGTTCATGGGGTCGCAAAGAGTTGGACATGACTGAGTGACTGAACTGAACTGAACTGATAGATTATTAAAATATTATAATCTATAATTTTAGCAAATGGTTGAATTGTTTCACAAACTACATGTTTTGTGTTTAAATTTTTTTCCTTCCTCTGCATCTCATTCACTCAAATCCTGCCATCCACAGACTGCTCAGTTTCAGCTGCCAACTTTGTTACGTGGTACAAGTCGGCATCACCCAGACTGAGAAGATGTGGTGATGCCCTCAGCTCACTTTATCAACTCTTCACACACCGTGTGATGCACAGCTTTTGCTGCCTTCTTTAGTATCTTCTGCTCCATTTTGGAGCACTTTTTGTCCTCTAGTATAACTTGGAGGATATGCAATAGCAAAGAAATGTGCAACTGGACTGTTTCAGGAGAGGATGCTCTTGAGTTGAACGACAGTTGTTTCACTGTGGTAAGCTGTGTGTGGGTGAAAATAGGTAAGGCATAAAGTAACTGTACCTTGATTATCCCTTTCAGAGATATCCTTGCAAGGCTGGGAGAAGGATAATGGGATCTCAATGTTCTCATCTTTGTGAAGAGATAGCCATGCTTATGTTAACAAAATACAATGAAGGACAAAGCTTATCTACACATATCTACATTTTAAAACAGCGTCAATAAGCTATTTTTAAGCAGTATGGAATTTTCACATTTAAAATAGTGAGCAGGTCGTATAAATCCTTATTATTCCTTATATAAACCAAGTTGAATATTATATTCTCTCCTTCCTGTTATTTTAAATTTTTTTCAAGCTTTTGGGTTAATATCAATAAACTTAGCTATTTACCAACACA